TGCTGAAACTTATGAAGTTCTTGCTAGAGTGGTTGTATTGACTGATTCTGCTGATTTATGAAAAAAATATATTTATAATATATTTTATTAATAAAATAAAGAAAAAATTATATGAAAATAGCTAAAATGATTCTCTACAGTAACTTCAGCCAACACAGTCAGAAAAATAACTTTAACATTACTTTTTCTTATTATTACACAGTTGAACGCGCGAAATCAAAAATTACATGTTTGGTGAAAAGTTGGTTGATAATGCTAATAAGTTGAAAATCATGACTACCAAACGGGTTCTTAAGCTTCTTCTAGTTCGATCCTTTCCTCTACATAGGTCAGCTATTGCTTTTCTCTTTCTTCAATTGTCTGTCCCCTAGTAACCTATTCATTTTTTGTTAAAAAAAGGGAGCCAATTTGGAATTCAATTGCATATACTTTGTACTCCGTATAATATACATACTACTCGTGATATTTTAAAATCTGGGACCCCTAATTATTTTTGCAATTTTAAGGCCTTGAGGTTTAAGCTTCACTAGTCTCCACAAAGGCACGGCTCTGAGTACAAGGTTCATTGGTACGTATCCAAGAATTCGCAAGCTAACCTAATTAGTAATTCAATCATTCTTGATGTATACACCCTTGTACACACCTATACACATCATGTTTGTGAAGCTTTTATTTTGTCTGTAAACCCGGTTCACAGACAATATTTTGTTTATGCAAAACATTGTCTGTGAATCGATGTTCACAGACAAAAAAATAGTTTTCACAGACATATGTGTGTACAAAAGTGTGTATAAAAGTGTGTACAAACATTATTTTTGTTAGTAATTATATGTGTACCGAAATAGAAATGGTATATCCAAAAGGCTTCCTGTACGTATACTGTAGTAAATAGTTACACAAGGGCATATTAGTATTTTTATAAAACATTACATAAACAACATTCTTTTATCAAATACTCCAACTTTAACTTTTTTTATCACAATCACTTTTATTCTAAAACACTATGAACTTTCACTATAAAACATTTTCTCTACAATTACTTAAAAAATCACTTTTTTAAAGTTAAAGCAAACACAAACACTCCCTTATTTCATTGTTACATTTGTTAGTGGGTACATACAAAGGCTACTGGGAGTATTGGCAAACGGCGCAAATATCTCCAATATTGTTTCATTATTTATCTTCTTTTTTCATTGAAATAATTAAAAGTTCTATTCCCTCCGTCCCGGTGGACTTTGCCAAGTGCAAAGTAGATGAAAAATAAGAATAGTAAAAAATGTGTGGTTGAAATTTGTGCGGAGGAGAGAGAAATGTGCATAACCACAAATTAGTTGCTTTAATAGGAAAATGACAAAGTTTTTTGGGACAACCAAAAAGGAAAAGTTAGCAAAGTCCAATGGGACGGAGGGAATAAATGTTAATGTAACTTTTAATGGAGGTTACCATGCCTAGTGGAAGGTCTCGAATTCGAAACGCAAAGGGTTTCAAACTCAATGGAGTGAGTTTCAGCTCAGGGGAGGGCCAACCCTGGCCTTGACCCAGCCTAAATTTAAAAAATGTTCATATTTTTAGTGTAAAAAAATCTGTGTAAAATTTTTTCCAAATATATTCTTTGTACCGACCCAGTCCGTCCCAGTGCTCTGACTTCACCCCTGTTTCAGCCCTGATTACACCAGGCCCCATGCCCCTTCCCCCGGACCCCTGGAGTAAAAAAAATGTAATATCGTATAATGAATATGAACACCGTTATTATATTAAACAATGCGTTGTCAATGAAAAGCAATTAAATTAAATTACTCCATAATATGTTAGGTAGGATATCATGGAATACGTTGCGGCGTTGCCGCCTGCCATGCCAAAAGAATACAAATAAGAGAGAGAATTCCCTAAATAGGAGTAAAAAAGTTGAAATTTCAAAATTGGAGTATCATGTTTTTTATTCCTTGAATAAAAGTAAATTTCTGCCAAATTTGACATTACTAGGCTTTAAAACATGACATTTTTTCCAAACTTAGCAGATTACTCTCATTCAGGGAATAAAAAACATGATACTAATATTTTGAAATTTCAAAACGTTTTTGCTCTATTCAGAGCGATTTCTAAATAAGAAATAGTATAATTTGCATACACATGGAACACAAACATACTAATGTATACTAATAAATGAAATTGGAGAAGAATATATTTTTTAAAAAATAAGCATAAGAAGAGTAAGTGCCGATTCTGAAAAACACAACACGAGGGTCCGATGGAGGTGGCCAATATGTAAACGTGAAGAACAATACCATGGGTGTAATTAATGCCTACTGCTCTTTATGCTTCATTCCTACACAACCACTTAATTAGCGGCTTCATTATTAATGACGGTTTTCACATCCATTTAGATTGTAAGGCCGAGGGACGACGCTCTTACGGAAGAACCACAGCCTTTTAGCAAAACGTGCGACGGATTAAAACATTTGACACGATACCCATTTAGCACCACACCTTTTTCGACATCTATTAAAGTCCCCGTGTACATGAACAAATACTTGCACCGTATATGATACGTAGCAATTATATACGTCCGTCCAAAAAAGATTTGACAAATTGACTTTTCATACTGTTTCCGGAACCGAGGGAGTATGCAAAGGCCAAATATGAATCTTTTTTTATAATATCTCTCTATTAATAAAGAAATTGCTCAAAACAACACTAATGGCTTGTTTGGTGATTATGTTTTTCGGTTTCAGTCATTTTTTAACAAATGTATAAGTTTTGATTTCGTACGCTGGATTGTATAATAATCAAAATAAGTAATATTATAGTTACTTTTCTTGTTGAATTAACTAAATTTATTGCAACGCATCATTATATTTAAACTATTTCTCCATTGTTTCTTAATCAAAATATAAATTAAATATAACTTTTCATAATTTAGCAAGTTTAGTCAATTCATCAGTTTAAGTCAGAATTTCACTAATTTCAGCAGATTCAACTAATTTGAGAGTTACCAAGCAGGCTCTAAATATGATCGAGACCTATTTAGCTCTATTTAGAGAATATCACAATAACAATGATATTGTATGAATAGAACTCAATGAGAAATATACAATGATTCTTCACTTTTTTAAGGATAACGATTCTTCTTTTGAAAAGTTACAAATAATTATGCTAAGCTAGGAACTCTAAATGGAAGAATCTTGTATAAGTACAATTGTGACAAAATACAAATTAGTACAATATGTGAAAAGATCGAATGGGTCAATACTCACTTATTCATATGATAATGAATCTGTGTTCATAGTGTCAGTGCATGAACATTATCATAAACACTATTATTAATAGTAATAGTGTTTGAAAATAGCCGTGATGATGAAATTCAATAATATTTTAAAATATAAAAATTGAATTGGTTGTCTAAAATAAGTGCAAATATTAATTAATTCATTTTATACTTTCATTTTTATTTGTAAGTAATATTAAATTCAAAAGAATTGATATCATTCAGCAAATCAATTGAAGCTCTTGCTCCGTCCCTGTTGTGTCCAAATTCATTATGGGAAAACATTTTGAAGAATTGTCCGATCCCAACTTCTTTTCAAACAATGCATTATTTGCGGTTTGTATTACTCCATTCCTCCCTTATACTAAATTCGTCATCTTCTTTTTTAAATGTCAAAAAAAATTACACACTTCCCTTTTTAATTTAAGGGAAAGTTCTCGAAATACGACTAAAACAGTTTGAAAATTCCAAAATAAGACTGTCATATTTTTTATTCCCAAAATAGGAGTAATTACTGTCAAGTTTAGAAAATATTGTTATGTTTGAAGTCTGATACTTCCAAAACATGGCAGTAATTAATCCTATTTTGGGAATAAAAACATGACAGTCCTATTTTGAAATTTTCAAACCTTTGTAATCCTATTTCGGGTAATATTCTCTTAATTATATACATAAATTTGTTATTCTTACGACGTATTATTTCTCTCCTAATACAAAAATCCCAACCATATAATTTTCCTTTTATTATATTCCGTCCTAGTTAAAGTTGTCAAACTCGGAGAGAGGGATTTATATTTCTCTTTGCTATACGCCTATATACGTATAGTACCATGTTTTAGCCACTCAATTTTGTATACTCTAGAATATTTTATTTGCACATTTTTCTCTATTACATTAAATTTTATCTCTTGTATGTAGTCTCATTAGGGAGGATGGGATTGTAGTATTCCAAAAGAGCATAAAAGATCAGAACATGGTGGCCTAGCTTTAGATTTAAAGACTGCCAAAGATGAGACAAGGCACATTTCAAGACAAAGGCAGTCCTCAGCCAAGTCCAATGCCCCCAAAATTAAACCCAAAAACGGAGTACTCTCTGACCAATTCAATGAAAAAGAAGGCAGGGAAATGGTTGCAGTCGGCTGGTGAGTTGATTTTCATGTTTGTACATACTTAATAAGTCGTATTCTTCAACGTACAAGTTGTGGATTGCTCCCCAAACTGGCCGATATGTAGGCCAATGTCCATTGTGCCTATCTTGGCTATGTAGGTAGCAAGCAATACTAGCACATACATACATATTCCAACTCAAAAGGTAAAATTGCCCACACCGGACGCCCCACATCCTGACCCAATGAAATGACCGAAGAGTGAATCATGATATGATCTCAAATAGTTTCTGAGTGAGCTACTCGTTCGATCAAGACCTAGAATGCACAAGAACCCACCATGTCATATTGGTTGAAACGAACTTCACACCACCTGATCTCCTATAAATTGAACCTGAGACATCAACTCAACAACTATTCTTGGCTATGTATATATATACATATTCCATGCATATATATGAGATAGTCGTTTCAACCGGATTACATTAGAGTCAGAGAGACAAATCCACGTGATGGTTTAATTTGGTATATTCTTGAGCTGGCATGCATCTTCCCATCCTCATCATTTTCCAATAACAGAATGTGCTTATATATAGAGCCAATCAGCACCAAACTATGTACTCCAATCTTGGACATTCACATCCTAGCTATTCATCCATCCTTGAAATTAAATACACTTATTTCGATCATACGGAGTATATCTTAGATATCTAATCAATATAATAAATGGGGATCATGAAACTAGCGGGGATGGCCGAGGCAAAGAAGAAGCTTGGAAGAACATTAACCCCTAGGGGCAGGAATAAAAACGAGAGAAGCGACGAAGCGGTTGTTCCGAAGGGGCACTTCGCCGTGTACGTCGGAGAAGCACGGCGGCGGTTCGTGGTTCCGATCGAATACTTGACGCATGCGCTGTTCCAGGATCTGTTGAGTTGGGCGGAGCAAGAGTTTGGGTATGAGCATCCCACCGGCGGGCTGACAATTCCATGTAGTGAGGATTACTTCTTAAGCCTCACTTCCCTTCTTAGCTCCCAGCAATCACAATAGAAGAAGTAATATATGGGCTACTCAATTACGAGTGATAGTTTAATTAGAACGACATGTTTATAGTAGGAATTGAATTCATATTTTACTTTTGAGTCTTCACCATAATATTCGTACTTTGGTACGATTAAATGAAGTCCAAATAATTGTACCAATAACATTCAATTAGCTAGACATCTTCATTATATTCATGATTTTCATGTTCAAATTTTCATGATGGTTTCCGTCTTTAAATTATTGGCACATTGTTGTTTCAAAAATAATACACACCCTTAAATCAGAAATTTTAATAAGCACGTAACGTGCTCATTAGAGAGCACGTACATTTTCATTAGAAAGTTTAAAGCATAAATATGGAGTAATCTACCGAGTACGGACTAGGATAAAAGAATTATGTGGATTAATAATTTTTCTAAATGTATTTCCAAACTAAAAAATATTCTACAAAGTAATAATTTTTCTCGCCATGTGGCCTTCTTGCTAATCTTTTTCACATAAATATTAGAACAAATTTTGTTCGTATTAGCAATTGATCGAAGCATTTTTAAATACTTCATCTCTAATAATCTCCAATAAAGTATTGTGAGTAACTTACAAATTCCACCCTTACCATAATTATTGGTAGGGAAAATCGCATTAGCAGTCTCTTAAATTCTACACATATTGAAATGTAGTTCTCATGATTTTGAGTTTTCAAATGTCACCCACGCGTCAATAGTCAGAGCTGTTGTATATGTGGCCCTCTTCGTCAAATTTGAACTAACACCTTCCGCTTTTATAAATTTTGACACGATTAGGGTTATAATTTTATAAACAGATAAAATAATATTGTTTTAAAAAAATTTGCACAGATAACTTACGTCTCTAAAATTACAATACGCATAAAAAATTGTCGGTCATTTTTTTTTAATTTTATACGTAATAAATGTTTGACATAGATACATATGTTTTCGAAATGGCCAAAAAAAATTGTACTGGTATCATTTTTTAAAACATTGTAAAAGAAAATCCACCAGACTTTTTTCGGTAAAAGTATGAAACATACAATAAATGTCAGTCAAAAAAATCTAATTTAACGGACTACAAATGTTTGTCACATATAAAAATGCTTTCAAACAAGTTGTATACATATGTTTGGTGCGAAAATACCCCAAATTTTAGTTCGTAGATACATTCACAAAAATTATTACCCCGTACAATTTTTTGTCTTGTTCTGTACTCCGTAAATTACTCCATACTTATTATGCTTTAAACTTCGGGAAATACCCAAAATAGGAGTAAATGACGCTTGGAATTTCAAAATATGACTACTATGTTTTTCTTCCCGAAATAAGAGTTTTTACTATCATGTATGAAAAATACTGTCATGATTGAAAAATACTGTCATTAATTATAATAAACATTGTCATGTTAAATGCACTGTACTGCAACTATTTGGCAGTCACGGCTACAAGATGACAGTAAACACTGCCATGTTAGTCCCATTTCGAGAATAAAAACAAAGTAGTCCTATTTTGAAATTTCAAACTTCATTTACTCCTATTTTGGTAAATCTCCCTTTAAACTTCCGTAAAATATAATGGGTCTACGTGCTCTGTAATGAGCATGTTACGTGCTTTCAAAAATTTCTGTTGTTCTTAGTACAATTTATTATTTATAAATGTAGATATTTGGATACTCCGTTTGCTATAACATTTTAGTGCTATATCATTTGCGATACAACTGCAATAAATACGGAGAACGGAGTATAATTTTTGATAGGCTTCACTAGAAAATGCTATCCCTCTGTTCCTAAATAAACTTCCAACTTTCCTTTTTCATTCATTCCAATTAAAACTTCTACTTTTCCTTTTTGGTAAAGAATTTGTGATTCACAACATTTCTTACACATTTCTCTCTCCCTTCCACAACTATCCACCACACAATATCCACTATCTTAAACTGTGTGACCAACTCATTTGGAAGTTTTAATTGGAATGGAGAGAGTATATCATTTGCTATACAACTGCAATAAATAATACGGAGTAATAATTTATTTAGTGTACCAACACGGTATCCTTCCTCCGTCCCAAATTGTTTTGCAAAGTCAACAATTTTTTGGTAAACCAATAATAAAAGACAATCCTCCCTATCGATAATTAACTCAATTTTTCATAATTAAAATTTATATATTCAGAAACTACATTAAAATCTCTTCAAAGTTGCAAACTTCAAATTAGAATATATTTAAAAATTGACATCCTAATTAAGCAAATAAAATGAAACTATTTGACTAAGAAAAGTAAAATTTGCAAATCAATTTGGGACGGAGATAGTATTTTATAGTTTGGAAAATTGAAAAATGATCGAAAAACAGCAAACTGAAACGGGAGACATCCCTTTTCCTTCTACCATTACCAAATAAAGCACATGGTCCTTCTACCCTGAAGCGTAGCATTTTTTTGAGCTTATTTCCCTCAACAATAGAAGAAGTTTGAAAGGACAGTCCTTTGAGGGGAATCTTTTGAACCAAATTCCATAACATAGAGTTGTAGTCCTCAAGTTCCCATATATCGACAGAAGGATCGATCATCTCCTAAAACACTACCATAACTCTCACAGCAAACTCTAGCTACACGAAGACGCCCCCGGCACACTCCAAAGCAACTCGGTGACTCGATGCTGTGGGAGCTGAGGGAGGGAAGAGGAAAGGAAGATGGATGATGCGAGAGAAGGCGTGAGGGCTGTTAAAGGGATCATACACGGCAATACAATCGTTGTGTAGCTGATGACGGCAATGTAAGGTCTCGCGGGGGTAGGCGGTGAAAACGGAACAATCAATGTCCTCCAATCTCGATCCTCGGAGGACAGGACCAGGACTTTAAACTGGGATGAACTTCGAAGCTGATCACACGTGAGGATTCTCACCACCATGAACTGCCAAGATTCTGCTGCTTGTGCATTCAGATGTGGGGAGACGCAGAAAACCAACTGAACCGAACAAACTCACGGCCGGGCGTGGAGTGGGAGGGAGAGCAATCATTCAGATTCTGCTGCTTGATTGCTTGATGTCTATGTTGTCGGCGCACCGAATCTAGGCCGTATTGTTCATCGACGAACGCTTACAGCTTCGTGGGGATGGTTTTAGACAGAGGGTTTGAGGTGGAGAAAGTAGGGAAGTGTCCTAGAGAGATCCGTGATTGACTACTGCTGTGTGAAGACGGGTTTTGATTAAGGATGGTTGACTACACAAACCACTTATCAGGCCGGGTAATACAGGTGCGGGCGCGGGTTAAGGTTTGATCATTTTTTAGAAAACTTAAACGGTTTGGTACGGTGGGGTCCTTAAAAACTTAGGAACCTAACGAGTTTTAAAATTTGAAATAACGGGTAACCCAATCGAACCGTTTTATAATATTTTTTTAATAAAGTCTATTATATTTAATATACCCGAGTAATATACTAACAGCACATGGAAGATATTCATGTTCTTGTGTGTAGACAAAGACTTTCAATTAAAGAAATTGGTCAATCTCTTAAAAAGACTTTTCTAAATCTATCTAAATTCCTAAATTATTGTCCTTCATTCTCTATTCCAAAATCAAACTCTTGCTTTTTAATATTTTATTGTAAACAAAGACTCTTACTTAAAATGAAGTGTAACATATTTGTTTTATTATACGGAGTATATCTTCCGTTTACTTGTATTTTAATATTTAAATTGTTTTAACTAGATAAATATGTATACTAACTAGTTTAATTTTCATGTATTTTATTTGAAGAGTGTTTTAGTATTTATCCATTTTGAAATTTTTACTATTTTATATATATGTGTTTTTATAAAAAAAACTTCAATTTTGTAGTAATCTTCAATTTTTATAAATGAAAATTACCAATTTTTATCTTAAATTTCTCTTAAATTGTAACCCTAAGCGTGTCAAAATTTATAAAAGCGGAAGGTGTTAGTATAAATTTGACGAAGAGTGCCACATTTACAACTACTCTGACTATTGACGGGTGACATTTGAAAACTCAAAATCATGAGGAATACATTTCAATATGTGTACAATTTAAGAGACTTCTAATGCGATTTTCCCTAACAATAATTATGGTAAGGGTGGAATTTGTAAGTTACTCACAATACTTTATTGGAGATTATTAGAGAGGAAGTATTTAAAAATGCTTCGACCAATTGCTAATGGACTAAAATATATATAAGCATAAACATGTCAAATTACCAGAAATTTTAATAAGCACGTAATGTGCTCATTAGAGAGCACATAGGCCCATTTTACAGAAGTTTAAAGCATAAATATGGAGTAATCTACCAAGTACGGACTAGGATAAAAGAATTCTGCGGATTAATAATTTTTCTAAATGTATTTCCAAACTAAAAAATATTCTACGAAGTAATAATTTTTCACGTCATGTGGCCTTCTTGCTAATCTTTTTCAAATAAATATTAGAACAAATTATTTTAGTCCATTAGCAATTGGTCGAAGCATTTTTAAATACTTCATTTCTAATAATCTCCAATAAAGTATTGTGAGTAACTTACAAATTCCACCCTTACCATAATTATTGTTAGGGAAAATCGCATTAGAAGTCTCTTAAATTGTACACATATTGAAATGTAGTCCTCATGATTTTGAGTTTTCAAATGTCACCCGTCAATAGTCAGAGTAGTTGTAAATGTGGCACTCTTCGTCAAATTTATACTAACACCTTCCGCTTTTATAAATTTTGACACGCTTAGGAGGCGTTTACTTCGTTGCTAAAGTCACAGTTAGGTTAGTAAGACAGGTGAAGTAAACACGCAAGTTGCTTAAAATGCTGCTTACTAACCGAAAGAGATGCTTAAAGTGTCGCTTACTAAGCATACCAGCCTCCAATGTATTAATTAAGCGGCACTTTAAGCTTTTTGAGTTTCCGAATTTACCCTTACCTTTACCTCTTGCCCTTACCCTATTGCTACCCAACTACCCCGCCCTACCCCACCCTACCCTGACCCCACCCCTCCTCACCCTTGACCCGACCATACCTCACCCCACCTGCCCTACCCCACCCCTTCACCCCTTACCCTACCCATGTACCCCCTACCACCTTCCCCTACCTTGACCTGACTCCACCTCTACCCCTTTACCCCCCTACGCCCACCCCCACCCTTGACCCGACCAATACCCTGCCCTACCCT